CATATTCATGATGGTTATGTTTTTCCTCTCAGCCACCCCGTTCTACTGGGGAGTATAGGCAGCTGTTAGTTGCCTTCTTATTCCTTAATTTCTGCAAAATTCCTCAAATTATTTTGAGCAAAATTCTCCTCCTCTATCGGTTCTTAAACAAATAATGCTTTCTCCAACTTCCTTTTCAACTAAGGCCTTGAAGTTTTTGAACAAGGAAAACGTTTCAGACTTCTCGCTTAAAAAATATAGCCAAGTTTTCCTTGTTAAATCATCAATAATGCTTAAAAAATATCTCTTATTGCTGTTGGAAGTTGGTTTGATTGGCCCACACAGATCTGCATGAACTAGCTGCAGCCTGGAAGCTCTCCATGCTCCTTTCTTGGACATAGTGATTCTGTGTTGTTTTCCTTCCAGACATTGTGTGCAAATCTCTTGAGGGACTGTGATAGGAGGCAAACCTGTTACCATTTATTTAGAAGCAAGATTGCTCAAGCCATCATAACTTAAGTGTCCAAGCCTGTTGTGCCAGAGTTGAGAATTGTTTTCTGCATTCATCTGAAGACACATATTTGTTCCCATTGTTGTTGTTAATACAAACATCTTGCTGGAATTCATTGGAATTTCCCATAGTACTCCTTTATCAGGGTGTACAATTGTGCAAGTGTTGCTTACAATTTTGATGCTCAACCCCTTTTCTTGAAGTTGTCCTATACTCAATAGATTATTTTTCAGTTCAGGAACGTAATATACATGTTTAATGACATGCATAATTCCATTTACCTTCACTCGAATACTTCCTTTCCCCATTACATCTATGTGAGTATCATTTCCCAGCTTTACTTTGCCTCTAAAGTTCTCATTTAACTCTAAGAACCACCCCTTGTTGCCACTCATGTGATTGTTGCATCCTTAGTCCAAGAACCAATCAGTTTTCTTTCCTTCTTTGCTATTCACAAGATCCATTAATAAGATCTCTTCCTCATGTTCTTCCATTTCTGCATAATTTGCTTTCTTCTCCCACATTGGACATTCATATTGAAAATGTCCAAGTTTATGGCATTTGAAACATTCAACTTCATTCTTGTTAAATGTTTGTCTCCCTCTTCCTCTACCTCGGAAGGCTCCTCTTGCTCTTCATCTTCCTCTTCCTCTTCCATACTTCTCCTCAAATACAGTTTGCATAACTTGCTCTTCTTCCACTGAGCATGTCATTCGCTGCTCATGTACCAATATACTACTTTGCAATTCATCTATAGTCATGGTGTTCATGTTGTTGGATTCCTCAATTGAGCATACTACATAGTTGAATTTAGTAGTCATAGACCGCAAAATTTTTGCAGTTATGACACTCTCTTCCATTTTTTCTCCTGCTGCTTTCATGCTTTAAGCTATCTTTAAAGTACGGCCAAAATATGAGTTCACCGACTCTTCTTCCTTCATTTGTAATATTTCGAATTCCTTCTGTAAGGCCTGCAACTGCGCACGTTTCACCCTTGTGGATCCTTGAAATTTCTGTTTCATGGAATCCCATATATTTTTGGACGTTTCATCGTTTAGGATGGTGTCCAAAATCTCTCTATCTATTGCTTGATAGAGATAATTCTTTATTTTCAAATCTTTAAGTTGTTGTTCCTCCAAACGTTTGAGATCTGCATCTAAGGCATTTGCTTTGTCTTTAACACCATCAATTTCGTGCTCCACCAAGCTCCAATACTCCTTAGAGCGTAAGAAATTTTCCATTAACTTTGCCCAATGGTCATAGTGACCATCAAATTTAGGGATGGTAGTTTGAACGTACTTTCCAATTTCTGTCATTTCCAATAACACTCTCAAATTTCCCAAAACTCACAGTGTATCACTCTTTTCAACCCAATCCAGAAAAACAAAGTTCTCTAGTGTTTCTCTCTCTCACTCACGTGGTAATTTTCTTGGTTCAGACCTCTGTGAAGGAGCTCTGATACCAATTTGTGAACACAAATCAGGTAAGGAACACTTTCTGAATGTAATCTCAAATCTTGTGTTATTGATTTTATCATATCACATACATTTAAATAGACTGCAATTAAAGAAAGAAAATGCCCTTTCCCATTTCCTAAATTAGTGGGCAATATCCTAACAGAAGTTAGCTAAGAATTTAGCTCCCTCAATTCCTAAATAATAGGCCAGCATAAGACCGTTATTTAAACTTAAAATAAAACAATAAATAAATCTGCATAAAAACCTTTTAACAAAAGCTAGGCCTGTGAGAGAAGAAATGTCCAAACAAAATTGGAAAAAGGTTTGGCTTTTGAAGAAAATGCCCAATTAGGGTTCTGGAATTAAAATTCCAATTTAGGGAAAATAATCAGTAATTGATTAGGAATTTAATCAGGGTTTAGAAAATGACAATTAACATAAGAACCCTAATTCCCTAATTATAATCAGGAGAGAATTCCAATTCTTAATTATAATGAAATAAAAACCTAAATTCTTAATTTATGTCTCATTACCATTATAAAGGAAACATAACCCTAATTTGCTTAATTAAATGTCAATCTTAAATGTTACTGATATGCCTTCTTAAAATGTTCTCTTCTCCAAAAAAAATTTTAGAAAGAAAAAGGAACCATCATGAATCATCCAATTATAGCACAAACATCACACCATCTTTCAAAGCATTTAAAATTAACAATCTACAATTATCAATAATTTAATTAAGATAGCTTCCCATACCTTAGCCAATTAGAGCTTTAACGATCAAGATCCATCAACAATAAGTCTTCATGCTTCTGCTATTTCTTTTAAAAGAAGACATTTCTCTTCTTTAAAGAAATTTTATGTCTTACTATGTTCTCTGTATTTCTCTCAAACTTTTATGTGAACGTTCTCTCTTTTCATTTGTCCTTTAATAAACCTCCTTTTATTTTATTTTTAATTAAATTCTATTATACGGTAATCACCTAGATAGTGCTTTCCTAAACAGTTCTTTCTAAACCTATATTCTAAACTTTTATTTTTCATTTTATTTAATTTCAATTGCAAGCCTTTACTTCCTATATCCCTATTTATAATATTTGCACCTCAATTACAAAAATGGAAAGGACATTCTTGCCCTTAAGAAAAATATAAATAAAATCAAACAAAGGTTTCACATAAACCTTTCTTTAGGACTTGAACTCAAATTAATTCAATCCTAAACAATTATCTCTACCAACAAGCTAACACATCACATTAAAAATATAACACATCACAAATTTACAATCATACAATAACATGTGTTACACTTATATCAACAAAATATATAAATAACATAGAACTTTATGTTTTACTGACTTGCACACCAACTTAGATACATAACACCTTGTGAACTCAAGCAGATTTTAATAAAACATACTCAAATCTTATTTATAAACTCTACATTTTTCTCGAGTGTGTATGTATTATTGTAGGAGCTCAGCTTTGAAGGTTATCTTGACACTCTAATGGTCATCCATTTTCAAGTAGAGCGGGGGTCATGTGGTGAAAGTAGAAAGACCTCCTAGTCTAGGGGTCTTTACCTTGGAAAAATGGCGTTTAACAGACCAATCTTGTGTAGTAACTTGGGGTGGGCCAACTATTCCACCATTACAAGTGTACAACCCGTTATAGCTCAATTGTAACGCATGTATCTGGATATTTGAGTCTAGATGTTATAATGTGTTTAGGTGTTGTGCTTAAGTTTGAAAGTGAAATATAATACATGATAGTTTTGTGAATTTCATGTTTTATTCTTTTGATATTAGTTTACCCTTTTGTCTTTGTCGTCTGTATGCACTTGTTTTTTCTTTTGTAATAATCACATTAAATGATGTGAGCTTAGGAGGATATCTTTCAAGTTGATCTAGTGCGAGGTACGAATGAAGTAATAACATACTTAGGTTTTAGTTCTTTATGTGTAAGTCTTTAACTTTAAAAATTTCAAGTTTCTCGTTAGTTATCATATTTATAACATTTATTTTAATAGTTTTATACAAATAAAATGAAATGTTATAAAAGAATATACCTAATACACAACGAGAAATATTATAAAACATGTTTTTGTATCCATTAAATTTGAAAACAAAAAATAAGTATGGATTTTTATATTTTTATATCAAGTACCGAAATAAACATAATCAAACTTACACTCACTCAATTGTCATATAAATATAAGCAATATATTTTTATATTTTAAATAATTACATTTCTAGGCTTAAAGTAATTTAAATTAGTTTATGTTATTATTTTTAAAAAACTATATTAATAAATTGCCTTAAACTAATTATATCAATAGTTATTTGTAATAAATAAATGAAATATATTTATTGAGAAAACAATATTACCTTAAAATTAGTTTAATAAATGACATATTTATTATTATTGTTAATTTGTATAAAAAGGTATAATTTTAATGCACACAAACATAATAGGTAACACTATATTTATTCCATTTTAGTTGCGATTTAATAAACTCAATCAAACCTTAATTATTTTTTGACAGGACTATTCCTAATCAATACACCTAAAGAGAGTATAGTATAATAGAAACGAACAATTAATCAGAAAGATAAAAAGCATATTAGAAAATTGAATAAAATACTAATTACATTTCTTACTACATTTTAGTCAAAAACTTAGAAACAAGTTCTTGAAAATAAACTCAAAGAAAGTGTTGTCTAGGAATACTTTAATAATTCTTTCATTGGAAAGTAGTGTTTATGGACCCCTTGCATGACATTTTCTCATTAAAAAATGTTGTCTTAGGTCAACACTTTTAAAGTACCTTTATGTGTAATTTATCATAGCTAGAAAACATGTACGTGCAAACATTAAAAGTGACAAGAAACACTACTAAAGGAACATTTTCCAATGACAATTTATACAATATATTTATTTTATGACATTCACAATTTTTCCTTATAGAATGTGCATAATCCCTTAACGAGAGAGTGTTGAGTTGAAATAACATTTACTTTATAAAAATTATTGTGTGAATACCAATGCAAGGTATACCCTAAATAAGTGTTTTTGGAACATTTATGTAAAATACATTAACATTCACTACAACCATCCATTGCTTTTGGTGTGAGTGCTATCAATTGCTCTTTCTTTCGAACCAACTTCTTGCTGTTGAAACCTACTACAACAATATATATATTATTTTCATCAAAAGGTCAATAAATTATTATATGTTTATATATAAATATGACTCTATACTTATAACACATATTGAAGAGCTTAACTTTTATTTTAAAACTATAATTATCCATTTTATGGAATTTTACATGGAGAATGAAAATAAATCTATGGAGTTTTTCTATAAAAATTGTATATAAGAACATTTTTTTATGTAATATAGCGTGAATAGTCTTTTATGAAAGAAAAATTTACTTTATAGGAAGGAAATTTTCATATACTGGTTCAATGACTAAACCTATTTGTAGACTACACAAGTTTGAAAAAAATCAAAGAGTTGAAGAAAAATTCTTTGAATCACTGTAATTTATTCCTAGAAATGTTATAAGAATATTAAGGAGTAAATTACTAATCTTCGAAGGCGTCAATTACTAAAGATTTTTTTATTGCTTTGTATACATAATTTTCTCTCCAATTTTTTTTTTACATATAAATAAAGTTTGTTATTATTTTAATTTATTTTAGGGAGATATCATTAGTTTATTAAAACAGAGGTTTTATTTTTTTTTAAAGAAAATTAGCAAAGTTTCTAAAAGAGTTTGTATGTGAACCCTCACTTTGCTATTTGCAACCCTTTTTCAATTTGGGCCTTGGACTTTTTGCCTACGACCTTTCATTGCCTAATTTATCTAAAAAATTCAACATAGCTTAGATGTGTTTACTAATAAATGATTTTTTTTTTGATAAATTAATAAAATAAAAGGATAAGAAAATGAATGCATACCATGTGTTTAGTGTTGTTCCAGATTCAAATTGATCGGCTTGTGTAGCATGCAGTTGAAAAAAATTGTTACTCTCAAGAATGAGGTTTGAGAATTCATCTTTTTCCTACAAAATAAATTTGAAAAAAAATGCATAAAATGAAATATCATAAAAAAAAATGTTAACATGTTATGGCTTCTCTCAATTGTATTGCATTTTCATCAAAATAAAGGAAAAACCTTAGATTCCAATTGTTTGTTAAGATCTTCCATTTTGCGCACCTGCAAATATGTATAACTAATACAAATTAATGACAACCCTTATATATGAAGGTATTTTAATGAAGATAAAGTTTACTACTGATATTGATCTTTTAAATATGATTGATCTTTGGCTATTTATTTTTAATATGCCATTATTGAAAGAATAAACAAAAAAAAAATACAAGTCCGTATTCAGTTTAAATTTCTAAATAATTCTTCCAAAATAAAATGTTAACATTCTGTTTTATAAAAAAAGTTAAGATAAATAGTAACATAAATTACATGTCCCGTTAACAAAAGTTAACACATAGATTAAATAACTGTTTTTTTTTTTTGCCATAATATTAAGAGAGAAAAAAATGCACTTAGTTGTTTTTGAAAAGGTAACTGCATATTAATTAATTAATTAATAGTGTAAACGTTACTGTTATAAAGATAAGAACAAATAAGTGAAAAATATTTTTTAATCCACTTAGCAAGTCTTTTTTTATTGATATAATAACATAATTTGAGCAACAACATAGCCTCATTTAGTTAGTAGTTTAAAATGCATACCTTTTCGCGTAATTCATCAGCTCGTGCCATCAGCTTCTTTGTCTGCAATTTAAAGACACACCCGACGATAATAATCAACAAAAAAGAAATGTTTTTTTTTTTTTGTTTCATTTTGATCTTCTATTTTTTTTTTATGTCTGTGTCTTTAATATATATTAATTTTTATTAATGCTGGTTCCTGACATAATTGTTTTTAAGGCCTATTAAGTAATATCAAGTTTATTTAATAGAATCCCGTGTTAGACGCTAAAGTAAAAACTAAATAAATAGAAACACAAATGAAAAACAAAAAATAACTCACTCATTCTTTAATAGTGGAACAAAACATAAAAATTTGAATACAAGAAAACATTGTAGATGATTTTAAGGTTTTGAAAATATATATGATCATGCATGCATCAGATAGAGACATTACTTGCTGCTGTCGAGTTAGAGCAAGTGTAATATCTAGTTGTTTCTCAAGGCTCTGCAATTCTTTAAAGCTAAGAGGCTCAAGTTCTTCTCCTTGAAAATGCCTTCAAACACAGAAAAAAACAGTGTAAAGAAGCATTTAAACTAATATACACAACATTAAAAATATATATATATATATATATATATAGAACATTTTTGTTTATGAATATATTTGGAGTGTGAGAGAGAATTAATTCAAAGAAAGATCTGTTTAGTATATACTGTTAAATATGTAAGGGTGAAAAACTAAAGGCCACCAAGTTTTCGAAATTTTCACCCTTATTTTTAGGGTTATAGCAAACTGAAATATATTAAAAGTAAATATATGCCAAATTTTTTCACACTTATTTTGTACATATATATATATTAAGAGTATACCTTTGTGTCCGCTCAAGAGATTCGTATTTCGCTCTTAATTTCAAGAATTCATGATATGAACTCTGCAAGGGACAGTGCTTATTAATATATATGCATGCTAAGATTGTAAAATAAAAATGCCAAGATACTGTATTGATGAAGCAAATCTTCCTAAAGAACTTACAATATTAGTTTTAAAGAAGTGTAAATAATTAATATATGAAGGTGTTTACACCCAATTTCTCTTAATAATTTTGAAAAATATTAAAAAAGGAGTATTTTTTTTAAAATACAATCAATAAAAAAGTAAAAAAAAAAAGTATAATAAAAGAAGTATGAGAATTCATATCACTAGAAGAAAAAGTTATACTAGTGATAAAAAACTCATCCAAAGAAATTAAAAAAAAAACTAATGCTGACAGTTGATTAGTTAGCATATGTATTTTAAGAACTTGAAAAATTATAATAATTAAAAAATATATATTAAAAATAGTTTACTTTTTTTCTTAAATGTTTTGGTTTTATTATATTAGTTCAATCTTTTTATTTATTTAATGGTTTCATGGTCATTTTTATACGAGAATAGATAATATATATTATATGTGTTGAGGAAATTGAAGGAAAAGAGAGATTAATATTAGCTTTTTGGGATAATATTTTAGTCTTAGATTTGTTCTTTTCAATAAAATATGTTTGTAATTAAGATTTTCAATAAAATATAAATGAAGTTTTGTTTTAAATTTTGTAATTTGTATTAATTATAGAATTTAGAAGACAAAAAATTGGGGTGTTATATTTTTTTGTATCTCAGTCCTATTTAGTATTTTCCTTAGGTGTTATTAAAGAAGGATATATGTTACAGTTGATGTTCAAAAAGAGATAAAGTTTTATGTGTTGTGGTTAAATTTTATTTTGAAAAGTTTTTTGATTTTTTTTTTTTTTTTTTTTTTTTTTTTTTTTTTTTTTTTTTTCTCATCTTATATTTATTTGATAGGATAGGGTTTATAACTTTCATTTTCTCCTACACTACACAAATGCATGAGACTTATTACTGGATAGATAGGATTGAAGAGCAAGGAGATCCTTTGGGGAAGATGGTGTATTAAAACTTTTAGGCTAAAATTCTCTTTATTCTTCTAATTTTTATAAAAAGAAATTAATTACATCTATAAATTTTATTGATTCAATTTAAATTTTTAATTTTAAAAATATTTAATTATATAATTTTTCTTAAATTGACGTTAAATTTTTGTTAGAATTTATACATTAAATTATTTCATTTAGAAAATAAAATTAATTTAAATATACAAGCTTGTCAATGATTTAATATATAAATTTTAATGTAAATCTAATAATAAAAAAAGGTATAATTAGATTATTTTGAAAAACTAAACGATTAAATTAAACTAAATAAAAATAAAAAATTTAATTGTTTTCTTATAAGAATGAGATGAAAAGAAAAAATATTGAGCCGAAATTGTACACTCGTGTCAATATTGTTTTATATTAGGCTAACTTGATATTGAAAGTGACTAATAACAAATCCATTCCAATACATTTCTTTTTAACTAACATTGTTCCCTATCCTATAATAAATATGTATTGAAGAATTTTATTTTTTAGTTTTGATGGAGTAAAAAATTTCATTAAATATATTTTCTTGTAATAATTGCATAAAAGTACATTACTGGATGCACTACTTTTTTTTATCTATTTTTATTAGTTTTAATACAATAGAAATTCGTATGAGCATTGCCTTTACCTTCTTATTTTTGTCTTAAAATTTTAAAATATTTAATAGTTTTAATCAAATTTTGTACTTAAAAATAAAATATATAGTTTTAAAAACTATTAATTATCATAATAAATTTTAAACTTCTCGATAATTATCATTTCTATTCATATACTAATTTTAAAAATTATTAATTATGATATAAAGTCATTGTTTTATTTTATGATTAATTTATTTATTTATATAATATTTAAAATTATTGATTATCAAGTTTTAAACTTGTTTGTTAATTAACATTTTTATTCATATATTTAAAAATAATTTATTATTATCATGAGTCTCAGACTTACTTAATAATTAGCATTTTTATTTATATAAACTTTAAAAATGCTTAATTATCTCTGATTTTATTTGATAATTGAAATTATATATATATATATATATATATATATATATATATATATATATATATAAATATTTATTAAAATAATTAAAAATATCAATGAACAAATATTTTTTTACGAAAAGAAGTACGTATGTTTACTTTTCTATTATAAATAAAAATATATAGAGTAAAGTCAAACTTCATCTGACTCAAATAAATATTTTTATATTTTTTAAAAGTAATTTGTTATAATTTTGTATATATATTTTGTTTGATTTAAGAGATAGAATAAATTTTTGAAAAATTATATTAATTTTGTTTGTTCAATGAATATATTTCCTACAAATAATTAATTCTGGATTTAAATTTGATTTCCAAGACTACTATATATATATTTTTCAAGATTTTTCCTTAATTTATTTTATAAACTATGGTAATACGATACTTCTGTTTCTTTCAAATATAAACTCTCTACTTTTCTTAAAAAATAAGAATAAAAAGAGACAATTCATAATATTTATTACTAACGAACTAAACTAATTAATAAAAACATTGTAACAAAGAGTAATGCAAAAGATAATTAAAATTTTCTAGTTTAAAATAAAAAAATTTAGAACACTGTTATATAATGAGATAAGATAAGAAAAGAAAATTTAAAAGAATTTGATACGTAGAAAAGAGAAGAATAAACCTGTGATTCGAGTTCCGATGAATCACCCGTCTGTAACTTGCTGTAACGACATTGGCGATACCTCTCAACGATTTTATTAATACTGATCATAATAATAATTATAATAAATGTCATTATTAATCAGTTAATTTCAGTAATGCTTGATAGAGAAAGGAGATATAGTGTACACGAACAAACACTTTTAGAATATGATTAATGGTAAAGTTCACCTACTTCAAATGTTTTACTAGTAGACACAGCAATTCTAGGGTTTCATGCAACGGTTATATTAGGACACTGTCCTCAGTAAAATTTTGAATATTCGATCGAGACCCCTAACATAAAGAATATGGTATGCTTATGATTGCATTTGTGCGAAGCATGATACTAGATATATCCGAGGAACTTAAAACAAAGCATCAAAACGTTGGACCCTGTCTTTTTATCTTTTCTTTTGAGTTGTATACAACTTTTGAGGGTCATATGACAAAACAAAAATTGACAATCATTAAGCTCATTATAAAGAACAAGATTAGTTATTAAAGCTCAAATTAGAGATTAGCTTGGGGTTACTAAATGATATATAATCATGCTTGCATCATTCATAGCACTCACCATGATAACCACACACCACAGAATATGACTATGTACGTAATCATTAAATACAGTTGCAGGAAGAATATGAATTCAACAAACAAGATCTGATCGACAGAAAATTATTAGTGGCATGAAAAGATCAACTATTTCCATTATAAGTCGAACTTAATTGTAGTAATTATTTTATAAAGTAATAAGTTGAAATGAAAGGTTAACAGAACATTAAAAAAAAACTCCACTAAAAGCTGAAAGTTGTGAAAAGTTATAAATTTATGAGAGGTTAATTTCTTAGTTTGTGTTTCTTCTTCTGATCTTGTAGTTTTTAAGGTTGTATTACAAAGAGTATCTTAAAAGATAATATTAAGAGGTGTAATATAAATCTAACTTAATCTTACGAAATTTTGTATTTACTTCCCGATCGATGTGAAACCAACAGATTAGTATTATTTTACATAACAATATGATGTCTAAATCTTGACACATAAATTTGCATCACTCCATGCCGTAATGCATGTACAACAGCAGCATCTGATGGCAGAATCAATTAAGAAAGCAGAAGAAGAGAGAGAGAGAAAGAAATTACTCAGTGCTGCTATACTGAAAAAGCTTGCCACGGCTAGAAAAGACGATAAGGGCAACTTCTGCATCACAGAGCACAGAAAGCTCAAAGGCCTTCTTCAGCAACCCACTTCTGCGCTTTGAGAACGTTACTTGACGGTTGATCTTGTTCTCTATTCTCTCAAGAACAACCCTTCCTCTTCCCATGCTTTTTTTTTTCTCTCTCTCACAGTAAAATAATAAGTATATGGTTGTAAATTGCAGTTTGTTTTACTTATATATTCAACTGCAGAAGGGGTTATAGATAAGCACATGCATAAGGGACAGCGAAGATAATACGATCAAGATTCCATATTCTACTTCTATCTCCAAACTAATGACCACGCTTTTCCCCGCAATATCAGGTCAAGAACTCATCGTGAAGCTAAAGTTTTCGTGATTTACCAACTACTACTAATTACCATTATTGCTTTTCAAGTTCAAATGCATTCGTGTAAAGCGTAAACAAAAAGTTGAAAACGAGAACCACTCACTCTGTTTAAACCAATCACATAATAAAACTCTTTCACCTTAACCATGTAATCTTATAATAAATGCCTCAAAAACTTTATAGTAAGTTTATTTGATTGGAGCAAAACTGTTTCAACAGAAGGAATGGATGTGATTCATAAAATAAAAAAGAAAATAAGATGTAACAATTTTTAATGAGCATTAAGATAGTGAGAAAGTCAAGATCTTAATTATTTTATAAGACATATATTAGAAGGAATACAAAGAATACTCTCTGGTCAAGTGCGGAACACTTTACCCGTCACTTCCAATAACTTTATTCTGCATAATCAATTGGACTAATATGAAACATTTTCCATCACAATTACATTTGCAAGGACGTGTTTGTTTAGCTGCTTCAGCCTTCATTTTCTGAGTTCCAACAAATTTAACTTGGCTAAAGAAATCTGTTGGATTCTCCTTCAATGGCATCCTTACAAACACACTCAAAACTTTAGGTGTATTATTTACAAGAATATATGCTAGAGAAAAGAAGAGAAGGAGCAATGAAAAATATCGTCTGAGGAATGTGCATGCGACAAAATGGTAACCTTGGATTTTCTCTTTTCCATGATGATGCTTTTCCTTTTTCAAATTATCCACTTTCTCCGATAGAGACTGCCATGCCAAATATCTCTATATATATTCCAAATTTTAACAGATTTTAAACATAAATAGATTATTAATACTGCATATCACATCATTTTTAACCGTAAAAACTTCAAACTAACCAGAGATTATTATTAACAAAAGAGATTTAACTCTAATTAAATTCTACAAAATCTATTAGTAAGATGACATCTATATAATATATTATAGATTGATCTTTTCTGATCAGATTTTCAATACATTTTCTTACCCTAAGACATATATATATATATATATATATATATATATATATATATATATATATATTTGATTGTGAGATTGAACGTTAATGATTTGATAAAAGTCTAATAACCAATAAAATAACAAATCTAATATAATTTTTTTGTTATGATAGACAAGACTCTAATATTGTATTAAAGATAAAATTAAAAACTAATTCAATCGTACAAAACTAATTTATTGCAAAACTAATTCAATCATACAAAATTAAAAACTAATTCAATCTAATTATTTATTTATTTATGATGTTAGAACTTATATTTAATCCATTCTATATTTATAACCATTGTTAACATTTCACTACTTTATATTGACTGTAAATTAAGAGAAGAAAAAGGTGGTTGGTTCTAAAGAAAGGCAATAAGAGGGTGGTACTGTAATACGTGTCGATCAATCTGAATAGAAATTTTCATGTTTCATTAATTTTCTGTGATAATAGCCATTGAAAATGTGTGGTGACTGTTTTCAATTTGGTTAACAATGTTCATCTTTGTTGTCATCGATTCTCAGTCACTGTGTCACTTCAATCTCATCTAATCCATAAGGCAATTTCTACTTTTTTTTTTCTTTTTCAACTTTACCCTAGATGTTGTTGGACCAGAGAGACTTTTATCATTTGGATTCAATTCCACTGAACTTGGACACGTTTCAGAGCCCTAATGGCTCTTCTCATGCTACAAAAGCTGAAGTTCCCTTCACCTTTCGTTAGTTTCCATGTAAAAGATGTTCATCCATCTGCAACTCGACACCTTGCAGGCTCACAAGTAGTGTAACAGAGCAGGGGAATTCAATTTTTTATTTTTATTTTTTATTTTCAAATTATGTGTTTATACTTTGTTCTCACATATATATGACCGTATTGTAGATGACAGTTTTATTCTCTATATATATTTATTCTCATATTTTGAAACCTAAAAAGTTTAAAGACTAAGTGGTGAGCTATATTACTGCATTAATTTTTATTATCATTTTTTACATTTTCCTTTGCTAAAACAATCTTAGCAATCCCCCATGCATCTTTAAAAACTTGAAAAATGAAGTTTTTCATATGTATTTGACACCCTTCACTTTTGAAATTTAAGTGGTACCAAACATGCCCACTTGGAACATATGTTGTCGTTAATTAACTTAATTCTTTTTTGTAATAACTTTACCACTAATTTAATTGTAACCTTATAAATTAACGGTCACTATGTACTTAGAATGTTTTTTATTTCACATAATTTGATATGTTTTTGAAAAGAAGCGAAGGAAAAATCTGACTTGGCACCCTTGCATGTTCTTATTAAACTTGAGTGGAGTGAAAGAAAGAATAATATATTTTTTTAGAAATGGGGATCCACTAGATATGAAGTGTACATTTAATAAACTGGTTCTGCCCCCTTCTTCTGTAGCAAAATTCTTTTTTCTAGTAAAAAAAAGGATTATCGATCACTTTTTTCTTTTTTTTTTTAAATTAATGTTTTCATTATCAATAATGGTTGAGATTTTCATGATAGTAGTTGAAGAGTAGCTCAACAGAAGATTGTAATGGCATTTTACATCACTTTGAATGGCAACATAATTTCGTTCAGTAAATCAATGGCTGATGGAAAAAAGAATCCAAGAAAAAAAATGCATTCCACTAGATGAATAGATGTGGTAGTGCCAAGAACTCACAAATAAATGGGATATGTTACGTAGCTTTCTTTGTTCATTTAAAAACTACAACTAAAAAAAATTACAAGGTTTTTAGCTGAGAACGAAAATATATTTATAAATTAATAAAGTTGGAACATTTTATGTTGGAAGGGTGAGTGTGTCCTCTATAAAAGCAAAGGTAAATAAATAGCTGAAAAATGCTTTTAATTTTAGCCAGAAAATATAATATCTATATATATTTTTTGTCATATCCATTTGGCCGTGACTCAATTTGTTTTAATTATTAAAAATGTAAAAAATAAATTTTAAACTTAATTCAATTTTACAAGTGATTTATATTTAAATTTTGTTTATTTATATATTTTAAATTAATTTTATTTTTAATTGAGGTAAAACTGATAAAAAAAACCAAAAACTTGCTAATAAAAACTACTCTTTGAGAAATAAAATTATTTATAAGTCAATACAAATTTTGGTATTTGTGATCAGCTCATTAATAGATTACATTACTGGAAATATTTCATACAAATTTATGATTTCGGGATCAAAATAACACAAGTGTTTCTTTTCGGAGACCAAATTTACATTGATGTTTTTAAACCATCTTTTGTGCTTATAATTAATATATTTCGAGTAATTCCTATAAATATATAAAAAGTTTAATTTTATGTCTATTTTTTTTAAAAGAAAATCTATTATGTTACCTGAAGCTTGCCGATATATGTTAATGAATTGGACGAAGTTGATCATAAAACATAATACATAGAATGTAATAAATCTATAAGAAGTAATAAAAATAAAATTATTCATACTCCATTCAATAGGCTATTAAAAAGTGTCACCCAATAATATCTTTTTTAAGTATCTTGTTACGAAGTAGTTCAATATCTATTTGGACTACATTTATATATTATTGTTATATTTATTATATCGTTATCAGTATTATTCTAATAAAAACGTCATTGATAAATACAATTAATATTTATTAAAAATATTTATTTCTTAACATTCACTTTCACTTAAGTCTTTTTATGGAGTGTGAGATAATATTTTGTATATAAATTCTAGTAGCAACATTTAAGAATGAAAATCTAAAATTGTAAACTATAGGTGTGAAACTAAACCTTTAAAGTAAAGGATGAAAACAAAAATTAGAAGGTATTAAAGCTAAAGCATAAATGAAGGGATTGGAAAAAGGAGAATATGTAGGTTAAATGGGTGACGAATTTCTTAGGACAAAACGGCTGACAGATAAGGCGTCCTACGGTGGAGAAACACTTTGCAAGAGAATCACTAGCATGGGTTGTCATTGTGAAGCTAAGTTAGCACCATGTAAGGATGGTTTCTGGATATTGTCTTCTTTCCTTCTCATTTTAATTAAGATTCTTTAGTTAATATAAAAATGTTAAATTAAATATATTTCTTATCTCTGTCTTATATATGTTACAATATTATATATACCAATTCAATTCTCATATTTATTTTTATTTTAAATTATTAAAATATATTTAATTTTATAACATTGATATTTTTAATTTTATTATAATTATTTTATCTTTATTTAATTCTGAATTGATATGATCTTTACACAATTATAACTTTTTACTTTGTATTTGATATTGAAAATAAAAGGTACATCATTCTAATATTAAATAGTTGATAATATTCAGTTTTATTACACAAATTTCATACCAATTTAAGCATGAACATAAATTAAGTTTGAAGAATTGTTGGTATTATGTTGTTTGGTTTAGTTTGAAGAATTGTTGAACGTGAGGGTAGAAGGAATTGTAGTCAGGCGAACCTAAATTCTGCTTCTAGGAACATTCGTTCACGCTCAGAGGTAAGGGAAGCTTATTAATTTAATTCGTATGTTTCTCTGCTGCATGAACGTTCGTTGATTTGATGATTTGATGATTTGATATGAAATATGATTGTGCTATGTTCTGATGTATGAAATATATGAGATTTTTGTGATATGGATTGTAAGAAGTATGAAATTTGACTATGATATGAATGTATGAAAATATGAAAATATATGATGAGAAATGATTTTGAAAATAAATGATTTTGGTATGAAATTTCCCTTATGGAAGTGTACTTCTGTCACTGGACGGTCATTGACCGTTCGGTTTTTCTAGTAAACTTGGGTAGAATTGGATTCTTTCATTTGGGAAGAATCCTAGTTGAGGACAAGCGTCTTCGTTTCGAGAAACTGTGCATGAGCGTTCGGACAAGCATAGTTGGTTTCTAGCATTCGATTATAAACTTAAGTGTATATATATATATATATATATATATATATATATATATATATGTATAAGTCTCGTTTATTCTTAAACATTATTTCAATAGTATCTTATTATATTTATCAAGCTTTCTAATATAAGTTTAGTAGTGCTCGGTCTTACACCAAGCG